AGCCAGGGTGGTCTCGATCTCCTGACCTCGTGATCCGCCCATCTCGGCCTCCCAAAGTGCTGGGATTACAGGCTTGAGCCACCGCGCCCGGCCGTATTCTTAATATTGAATGAATGATATCAGGAATTAGGGAGAACAAAGAGTTGTTCTGTCTACTTATTAACAAGTCAGATAATGCCAAGAAAAAAAAATTCTTTTTTGAGATGGAGTCTTGCCCAGTCCCCCAGGCTGAAGTGCAGTGGTGTGATTTCCACTCACTGCAACCTCCCCCTCCCGGGTTCAAGCTATTCTCCTGCCTCAGCCTCCCAAGTAGCTGGGACTACAGGCACATGCCACTGCGCCTTGCTAATTATTTTTGTATTTTTACTAGAGACGGAGTTTCACCATCTTAGCCAGGATGGTCTCAATCTCCTGACCTCGTGATCCACCCGTCTCAGCCTCCCAAAGTGCTGGGATTACAGGCGTGAGCCACCGCGCCCGGCCATATCAGACTTTTATACCTAGAAAAACAAGGCCGTCTATTAAGTTCTGGGATTCTCTTAAATATTTGTAATTTGAAATTCAGCCCTTGATCCAGTAATCTGAAGTTTGTTTCTCAGTCTTCCTATAAATGCTGATTCAATCAAGGCCTCTCCTGTAGTACGTGCTCAGTCCATATGTGGTATGTGAATTATTAAATAGTTAATTCTGCCAATGGTGAGAAATATGCATTTCTAGCTCTGCGTTTGACATAGTGATTCATATCCATCTGCTTCCTACAGTTCTGTTGCTTTTTCTTGAGTGAGAAGGACTTAAAGATGTTACAAAGCTAAAGAGGGAAGATTTGGTCATGCTGTTATTTCATTATTATTTCTCAAGGTAAATTGAAAGAATGGTCTTTGGTCCTCTATGGCACCTCCGTGCAGCCATATTCACCAACCAATGAGTTTCCTAAAGTGGAACGGTTCCGCTATAGCCGAGTTGAAGACCCCACAGACGACTATGGCACAGAGGATTATGCAGGTGAGCTGGCTTCCAGTGGGACACAGCCTAAAGAGAGAAAGCTCATGTGTCATCCCACCACAGGGGGGAGGGGAGGGGAGTGGAGTGGAGTGGAGTGGAGTGGTGGGAGTGGGAGTGGGCATGGAATGGGAATGGAATGGAATGGAATGGAATGATAGAGCAATATACTACCCATATTCTGACATATTTTCTTCCATCTTATTTTTATCCCCTTAATATCTGTATGTGTGTATATATCAGTGCACTTATATATTCAAATATCCATATGTGTTATCTACAAAGCTGATAGTCCATACTGTGATTGTACTGTAATATATAGTTAATCTATAATCTGGGACACATACTTCGCTTACAGAGTTTTACACTATTTTAAACACGGGTTGGATAAACATCATTATTTATCAGTCTTTGTCTATATCTTCATTATTTCTTTAGAATAGAGTTCTGTTTTGAGACTCACTGCATCAAAGAGGATAATCAGCTTTAGGGCTTGGAAACATTTTGTCACTTGCTATCCAGACAGGATGTACCAGTCTACACTGTGACCAGCTATGTGATTGTTTATTACACTCATTCCTGCCAACAGAAAAAAATAGAAAAAGAAAGTAAAAAAAGAAAGAGGTGAACGTTTTAAAAATGTCATAGCTTTGATTGCCTGTAATTCTAAACATTTTTTTCCTCTGTAGTTCTCTGAATTAAATACAACTGTCTTTTACCCATTTTTCTATTCAAAGTGCAGTAATCCTCTTATCTGTTTGTGAACACTCTGTATGTTATTGTCTGTCACATCGTTTCATATTTGCTGAAAACATATTCTCACTTATCACTGAGAATGTAAGTTTTGTTTTGTGTTGTTTTGACAAAAAACTATGAGAGGCTGGAGTTTATGGTCTCAAATATAACACTGATTTTTTGCAGAAGTTTCATCCTTTAATGTCTACTGAATATTCACGTGCTTTGTTTGGTAATCTCTTGTTTTTTACATTTGGCCATTAATTCATCTGGAACTCATTTTGGTTTATGACATATAGTGTCAATTGAAGCTCTGTCTTTAGTTATTTTCCAAACAGACTAACATCATTGGCTAACTATCCCTTCTTTTTTTATTAGTTTAGGATGCTTCCTTTATAACAATATAGTAAGATCTTATACCAGCATCTTTTCTGGTTCCACCTTTTCTGATTCATCAATCTAATAATTCTCAAACCAATACCACCCACACTGTTTTGTTTTCATTTCATGATGTATTTTTATATTTGTAGAACATCTGCTTCCCATTTCCATAGCAATTATTGCCCTATTATTCTTCCAGATGAATTTTAGAATGATTTTTAAGTCTCCCTTTAAAAGTCTCATTGGAATTTAATTTGAATTTATATGCAATCTTGTGGGAAGAATTGTTTTTACAACATACAATCTTTCCATTTAAAACATAGATCATGTCCCATTTTACTAAAATCTTTTAATTTTATGTCGTTTTCTTCTTGTTAGTATTACACCTACGTATTTTGGGCCTTGTTGCTCTTATAGTGGAAAATATTCCTTGCTTTCTAACTAGTATATGCTGGTGTGTAGGAAATCCATTGGCTGTATTTATTTTATATATGGCCACTTTGCTTAACTCTCTCATTAATTTATATAGTTTAGAGTTGATTTTCTGGGATGGTTTAGGTACTACAGCCTTAGCATCTGCAAATTGGTTTTGTTGTCCTTCTCGTCATTATTTCTGACTACTGTCTTGTTGCATTGGCTAGCACTCCTAGGAGCATTCAATCCTTCTGAGATATGACATATAACACATAATGGGCAAAGCTTCTTCTAATGAAGAACTATTTATAGGCCCGGCACGGTGGCTCATGCGTGTAATCCCAGCATTTTGGGAGGCCAAGGGGAGTGGATTGCCTGAGCTCAGGAGTTTGAGATGAGCCTGGGCAACATGGTGAAACCCCATCTCTACTAAAGATACAAAAACAAATTAGCCAGGTGTGGTGGTGCGCACCTGTAATCCCAGCTACTGGAAAGGCTGAGGCACAAGAATCACTTGAACTCAGGAGGCGGAGGTTGTAGTGAGCCGGGATCAGGCCACTTCACTCCAGCCTGGGCAACAGAGCAAGACTCAGTCTCAAAAAATAAAAAGAACTATAAATACAAGTTTAATGTATCTTTAGATGAGAAATATTTTTTCTTGCAGTTCTGAGATTTTCCTTTAAATACTGAAAATAAAATTACTTCATTAACCACCTGAACAGAGTATCTTAAATACACATGTAGTTACTTTTATTCTAAACAGATAGCATCCTAGAATCAATAAACATGCTTGAAATTAAGACCAATCAAGCTAATCAGAGCTGGATTGTATTAGATTTTGTGATGTTTTGCTTTGAGCCTATAGCATTACTATTTATATTTTAACTAGCGAACTATTTTGTCTTCTCGGATAGGAGAAAGTATATCCAAAATAACATAAATAGAGTGTAATAGTAAGCTGTTACTCTTTATTCATATTTTGGTAATGTTTCGAATTCAAATTTCGGAATGTTGAGTTCAGAACAGTTATACATCTTTGTGGTTTTTCTGATTATCTCTCTAAAACATCAACATTGGCACTTGTGAGAGAACCAAGACAATTATTGCATTATTATCCTGCAACCTACAATGCTAAACCGCATCTGGGACAGTTTAAGATGATAAAAGAAACAACATAGTATGTGAACTTGCCATACAGTGAGAGCCCTTTTGGCAAATGTTAAGAATAAATGTTTGGGATTTTTTTTTTTTTTAATTCTAGAAGTCATCTGGTGAAAATTTAGGGCCACCCATGATTCCTTTCCTTTGGAGCTGCAATTTTCACCTTCATTTAGAAGTCAGCCAGATTAGAGACACAGATGGCGTTATCATAACCAGATTCCCATACTGTGTCATTGGATCCCAGGGACTGTGAGATCACAGCTGGCTGAACGTCAGTCCATAGGCAGCAGAGACACCCCTCCCCTGGTGTACGATGGCAGATGGCTAAAATGTCCCAAGTTGCAGTAGCTATGGAATTTAGAGATCAATTTGAAGCTTTGGGGAAAATAGAAACAAGCAGTGCTGTCAAATGACTCTTGCAGTTAATAAGAAGTATATTCAAGTCTGCAGCATTTTGAAATGACTTATTTCCATTCAGATGGAGAAGTCATCCCTAGTACATGGTTTGCTACCTCTAAGCAGGAAATTTTTACCTAGGTATCAGGACCTACGTTGACCCCTCTCCTCACCATGTGATACTGGGCAAGCCACTGAAATTCTTGGAAAATCAGTTTCCTCATCAGTAAAATGAGGGTATTTGACTACCAGATTTTTCTCTAAGTCATTCCACCCGAGATCTAACATTTTATGTTTCTGTGATTCAGTAATTATGAAACATAGTCCCATAATGACTCAAAGAAACCAAGGTATAACAGTAAGTCCTTTGGGTTAAAATAAGTAGATTTTCTACTACCCTTGATTTACTATTTGTACATTTCATTCAATACATTTATTGCTAGTTAAAATCATATGAATTTTCAGTGGGAAAGAGTTTGCAGATTATGAGACCAAATGTTCCAGAATGTGGCGAACAAAGAAGAGAAGAATTAAAAACTTCTAAACTAGCCCATGTCATTAGAAAGTTTTTCATCAATCACAAAAGTGCTCCATCTTTCTGACATTTTTTTTTTCTTACTGTGCATTCTCTCCAGTTCTATACCAAAGAATAAGTAGTAAGAGAGATTGGGAACTTTCATCTCAGGTCTGGAATCCTTTAAACTTGCTTGCATTTTTTTAAACTTATATATCATTTTCTTTTGTCGAATTGCCCATTGGCCTTTGTATAGGAAGCAATTTTAAATCTATTATCTGTGTTTGAGACTGGATGCTGATAAGCTTGTGCCAGGTGCCATAATGGTGTTTCTTACCGGCCACAGTATTTGAGAGGTATTCAGTAGCTTTAATGATCTTAAATGAGACAGGTCATTTGGTCCAGGCATTAAATAATAACTCTTTTCTTTTTTGTCAACAACTTCTCTCTTTTCTACAAATCCAATCTTTTTATTATTACACATACTTAATTGCAGTTGGTTTTTTTCCAGTTGCTACAGTTCATTTGAATTCTAAAATATTTATCTACCACGAGGCAGCCATATGTGCTTTGAAGACCAGGCCATGACTAGAATTTACATTCTTTATACCTAGGCAATTGAAATTGCCTAAGAATCAAAAGTCGAAAAAAGTCAAGAGCTCATCTCTGGACCTAAAGCCACATTGACAATTATTCCTCTGTCTTAAAGAAACTCTCTGCATAAGGAAAAAAAAAGACTTATTTTATACCAAATTCAAGGTAAAGCTTACCTGCTCTAAAATCATTTTTCCAAGTATTGTTCTAATGTCTTTTGGAAAGGTCCCTGCGACCCTGAGTGCAGTGAGGTTGGCTGTGACGGGCCAGGACCAGACCACTGCAATGACTGTTTGCACTACTACTACAAGCTGAAAAACAATACCAGGTAAGAGAGGGGCCAAGTCACATCCCCACAGCATGTGCCACTCCCACAGGCATCTTAGGAGTCCCTGCAAGGCTAATACCATGGGGTGTGTGCAGGCCACTGGTATCTTCCACTATTCTCCCACCAGGACCTAAGCATAGAAAAGAGGCTGCTGTGCAGGCCGACTGCCTCCCTATGTTATTCAGAATGATGAAAACTATATTAAGTTACAAAACGCAAAATGTGCGTGTATGCTGTGAAACTGTAATGTCTTCTCTCACATTTGGAGGATGGTGGAGGGACCAGCTAAGCACCTGCCCCTCCAGACCTTTTTCTTTTTAATTGACAAGTAAAAATTGCATGTATTTATAATGCACAACTGATGTTATATATGTGTGTGTATATGTGTGTATGTATATGTATGTGTGTATACATACACACATATACATATACATACATACATTTTGGAACAGTTAAATCAAGCTATTTAACATATGCATTAACTCACATACTTATCTTTTTTTGTGGCCAGAACACTTAAACACTACTCTCGTGACAGTTTTCAAGTACACAATGAACTGTTATTAACTCTAGTCATCATGACAGATTTCTTGAACTTATTCCTCCCATCTCACACAAGTTTTGTGTCCTTTCCACCCCACTGATATTCGATTTCATGGCTTCACAAAGATGCCAATGCACAGGCCAAACTGATGCTTTTCCACATTCCCCAGCACATAGGCCATCAGTGTGGCAAAGGGGTTGGTCCTGCTTGATCTCACTCTTCTGCCATGGGCACTAAGGTGGACCCTGTGCCTCTGAGCCCCTGGTGTCTGCTTGAGCTGTGCAGATACGTTTCCTGGGCAGGGCCAAAGAATGGAGACTGCCCCAATCAGAGTTCATCCTGACCTCCCGTTGTCTCCCACAGCCTCACCCACCTTCTCCCTCCTCCTTCAGGCGAAAACTCACTAAGCGGAGCTGCCTCATGGTTCCTCCATACTCCAGTCCCCCAGACAGACCCAGACATGTTAAGAATTCCTGTTGTAAGTCTGCCGGAATTTAAATTCCTTAAGAGAAAGGAGGACTTTGACTATCTCTCAGCTTCTGTTATCTCCTGCACTTAGCAAAATGCCTAACGTTTAATTGGTGCTCAGTAAATATTTGTTGAATGGATAAATAAAACTCTGTCCTTCCATTATGGGCAAACCAGAAAATTTTTTTTTAAGTGTTCTCATACACAACATAAATTTAAATATATTTATATTAATTTAGACAACAGCATACAACCACCACCACCACTCACATATGCACATACAGAATCCATATGACAAACAACACATGAAAATAGAAGTCACACCTTATTAAAGGGACCTTTTTGAATGAAGTCGTGGTTCCCACATAGTTTTCCTCTGATTCACCCCCATAACCTTCCTCTCTGTAACCATCATCCTTTTTCAAGGGCTAGGTGTAAACCAGGAAACGGTTTGACAAGTCTTGGTAGACTTGGTGTTGGGTAACTGCATTGCTGCTTCAGCACACTGTGCAGGAGGAAGTTTAACAATCAATCTGGCTCTCTGGATGTGGTGTTGGCATCCTGGTTTAAAAGTGATTTGGAGGCTGAGCTCAGCCATTTGCTCAGCACCTGCAAGAGAATGCTGAGGACTGCTTCGCTCGTGACGCTGCCTTCTTTCTTATCGTTTCACAATGCAGGATCTGTGTCTCCAGCTGCCCCCCTGGCCACTACCACGCCGACAAGAAGCGCTGCAGGAAGTGTGCTCCCAACTGTGAGTCCTGCTTTGGGAGCCATGGTGACCAGTGCCTGTCCTGCAAATATGGATACTTTCTGAATGAAGAAACCAACAGCTGTGTTACTCACTGCCCCGATGGGTCATATCAGGATACCAGTAAGCTCACTTCAAATATTTGGGTTTTAGAGAAGAAATGTGGGGTTTATCATGTGAGTGACCTCAGGAAGGATAGTCCTCTTTGTGAAATCTGGAATTGTGCTTCATATCAAACAGGATCTAGTTCATTTATTTTAAGCGAACCCTTTAGAAGCTTTATGTAAAAATGCTTATAACTTTATCGGGGTATCCTCAAGCCCACCCCCCGATTCAGTGATTTGCTGGGAATATTCACAAGGCTTGGGATATAGTCGTGCTCATGAACTCATAGATAGGAGATATTACAGCAAAAAAATCATCAACGGGAAAAGGCATATGGGACAAGGTTCAGCCACACAGGACGTGTTCAGTTCCCCATGCAACCATCTGTGATGACATGCATGAAATGTTGTCTACCAGGGAACCTCATTAGAGACTCGGGGCCCAGGGTTGTCACTGGGGGCTGGTCAGACTTGACACGTACCAAAATTCCAGACTCTTCAAAGGAAAATAGGTGTTCCCTATAAACCATATTATTTATACAAACAGTTTAGACAAAGTGAGCCACTCTTTTCAGGGTAGTGGGAACCCTCCCAAAATTCAAGTTCCCAGATGTGCCAGCCATGGACCAACCTTACAAGCAGATTTGCAAAGGACAACATTCAGGCCTGCTCTTTTCTGCACACTGACCAAATAGACACCGGGTCTGTATGATATCAAAATATACTTTTTAAAACGTTCAAAAAATATGACTGTCTTTTAAGAGTAGAATGAACATTTGTCAATGACTTATTTAACCCACTAATAAGGGAACTTGCAAGGTGACGAACAGGGCGGAAAGATGATCAGGTACTGTAGTCCACCAGGAAAGGCAAAATGGAAATCCTTTTGCTAAGTTAGAAACAAAATGGAATCATTTAATAATTTTCTACATGGCCATACAAGTAGAATTTGGGGAAGTGTTTTTTTTTTTTTCTAATGAATAGAAGTAACTTGCAACCTTACCAAACAAAAATCTGTGCATTAACACAGAGTTTGGGCCATAATCAGCCATCATTAGCAAACAGACGAACGTATATTGCCCTAGAGAATTAAATAATCTTAAGGTAGACCTTTTGGACAGTGTTCTAGTGTGGCTCTGAAAAGGACTGCAGTTACCTTTTACTTTATTTCTGAGTTCTGGATAATTTCTCTTAACAAGAACGTCATACCATGGTATATTATGGCACTGAAATTTCATGTTTCTGCACAACCTAAGGAAGAAAAAAGAAAACTCAAGTTTAAAGGAACAAGAGTTATTTAAAATAAAATCAGACAAGAAATCTGAAGTGAATACTCTTGCTTCTTAAGAAGTGAAATTCTCTCTGGTTTCAAAGAGGAGCATTTCTCTGTGAGGCAGACAGGGTCTCTCAACTTACCCTTTAGGGCAGTGGGTAGGGACTCTGCCTTTCTTGCTTGCCCCAAAATTTAGAACATGAACTTTGACTTGAGGGAGAAAAGAGAAATTGGGAGAGAGAAGGGGGCATAAAGAATCCACAGAAATATGCAGTATTCCTTGTGGGGAAAAAAAGTCAAAATTCTATCAAGAAGGTTGAGCCTTGGAAAAGAAATTTGATTCTGGAATATTATATGACAGAACCAAAGTAATTGAGAGTCAGTTGTTTCCAGAGCCTAGAAGGTAGATAATTAAGGTGTTCAAACTATGACTTCAGCTACCACAAAGTGTTGATACAAGTGGTTTGTATATCTCTATGTAATTGCCTTATGTTATAGTTTTCTTCTCTAATGAGTCCATTTATGTACAACATAATGATCACATATGATCATCAGTAGTAGTAATTACTGCCAACACATTTACAGTGCTTAATAGTTCATATCGTTCCCTTGAATAATTAATTTTATTTAACTTCTCAAGACAACCAGAGAGGTGGGTAGCATTATAATCTCCATTTAATGAGTGAGAGAACAGAGACCCTGAACTTGCCCACTGGAGTTGCTAAAAGCAGAATGCAAATCTAGGTCATCTGAGTTCAGATTCTATGCATGTTCAGTATTCTCAGTGAGACAGTGAGAGAGACCATGTGATGACTACTGTTAAGATTGTAAGGGGCTTCGTATTTCATGCTCAGAGGCTCAGACTTGATCCAGCAGGTCTTTGCAGGGATCCACTAAGTTGTGTTTCTCTATGGAACCCTGAAGAACACCAACATTTAAAAAGCAGATGGAAGCCCACGAAGAAACTTCATTCAGTTCTACACATTCACATGGCTATAATCCACTTGCATATCAGAGCAGGTACCAAGACTTTAGCAAAATTTTGTCTAAGGTAGAAGTCCTTCCTTAATATGCCAAATGTTTTCCTCCACAGAACAACCATAAATTTGCCAACTTTTTTCAATATGGACCTGGTAGTAACTAGGAAGGCAAGTATTTACAGTATACTTGTTCAAATGATGCATTTCTATTCTCCAGAATATAGATATTTTCTGAATTATAATAACATTTATACCAATTCCATGGCTGCTGTAAAGTGCAAGACACTAAAATAGTGTTTAAAATAAACAATGTAAGAAATAAGCAGTCCTTACCTTGCAGTCTTAAATGTAGATTCCCTTCTCTAGTTCAGCTCAACTGACCAGCCCAAAAAGTTATGAGCATGAGGGTCTACATTCCCATTCCTCCGTCTCAGGCATTGCCTTTCAATCCTTATAGAGTGATGTTGTTCCAGCTTCCTGAGTGGGCTTTGCACTGTTGCAAGTTAAGAAACCCTGCTGGGGAGAGAGACTAGGAAGAAAAAGAAGAAAAAAAAGGCCTATAAACTGTTCAACTAAGAATTAGCTAGGCTATCATTTTCTTGTCTGCAAAATGGCAGAGAAGTGTAAGGTGTTTTCCAGTGTTACGGTTCCTGTCTGTACTTGGTTTGCTGAGAAATGGTAACAAACAGTGATTCTATGGCTTTTCCTGTAATTTTCTAGTCAAGGCCATAGGTACTATAGCATACATTAGCCAGCATTAGAACATCTCTGATGCTTTTATGGAATCCAATTGACCAACTGATTTATAACTTTCTCTTTTTTTTAACAGAAAAAAATCTTTGCCGGAAATGCAGTGAAAACTGCAAGACATGTACTGAATTCCATAACTGTACAGAATGTAGGGATGGGTTAAGGTAAGAGAGTGAAGGATTTTTTTAAGTAACACAGCCCAAAGAGCTTCTCAATGTAAATAAAATGAAAAAATGCTAAACAAATAGCCCTCTTACGATCTACCCTTGGTTTGACTCCCATTCAAGCACTTGATTGCTATTTGCATTATCTCTACTATTATATGTGAGAAATGGGATGCTGTGTTGGCTAAAGAAGGGTTATATCCAAACAAATTCTCTTTAGAAAAGATGGCTCAGATATAAGTCAATAAAAATGGCCGTTTGAGAGGCATTCTTTGTGCTTTTTAACCTGCATTGTGCCAGTCAAGGATTACTGTGCAGGTAATACCAATGAATTATATTTAATCCCCCTGATTCATTCCTTGGATGGTCGGAAATTATTCCCTTATCTTTATTATTTCTCTCCACATACCCAATCATTCTCTTATCTTAAGTACCTCAGGCTTGGTTCCATTATGCTATGGTATGCACATAGATTTAACACCAGGAGATGTTTTCCTTGAACGGATGACTTGCTCATTGCTAAAGCTCAATAGTTGGTCTGCTCTCTAAGAGAACAATGTACAGCTCAAACTAACTAGGTAGCCTCTTGATCTCAGTAGGGAAGGTCAGACCATTCTGCATTTAGTGAGGAGTTGGACTGGGGCTGTACGTGGAATTAGAACTCTGCTGCACTGGATTTCTTTTAGGTATTGATCGTATCTTTATTTCCACCTGTGATTGGAGGTAAACTAGGCAGGGTCCAGGCAGTTTCCAGGTAGGTACATTCTTTACCATTAACCAGTATTGGAGCATCATTTTCATTTAGATTGATCAATTATCTATGGCTTTATTTCTTTCCCCCCCGCCCCCATAAATGCATTCAGTATTAGCTTACTTGGCAATTTTCATCTCGAGACTTCAGTACTGAGAAAGAATTAGCCACCTAATTCTTGGAGAAGGAGCAAAGCAGTATAATAAAAAGAAAGAAAGTAGATGTGGACTCACATCCTCCTCTGCTACTTATTAACTGTGTGACTTTGGGCAAGTCACTTGACTACTCCAAGCCTTCATTTTCTCCTCTATAAAATGATGATAATAACCCTTGTTTTGCTGGATTATGATAAAGGTTAACTCTGATAACAGTTGCAAAATACCTTTTGTAGCATCTGGCCCATGCTTGGTTCATGAGAAATAAAAGATGATTTAAATTATTTTATTTCTTAGGGAACATTATATAGGGTATGTTAAACCAGTATATGCCAATAGAAATTTGAGAGCCATATATGTAATTTTAAATATGCCAGTAACCACATTAAGTAAAAAGATACAGGGGAAATTCGAGTTTCATAAAATATTTTATTTCATCTAATATATTATCATTTCAACAATTGAAAAACTATTATCAGATGTTTTTCATTCTTTTTCATTGTTTTACTGTCTTCAAAATCTGATGTATGTTTTACCCTTAAAACACATCTGAGTTCAGACAAAATTGTTTTCATGAGAAATATTTGATCTTTATTTAGGTTTTGTAGTTGAAAAAGAAAAGTTTACGTAGCCAAGTTGTTCCAGACTTACCCAAATTTTTGCCAATAATGGAATCAAGTGCCAGTTTTTCACATTTAGACTTAAATTAGTTAAATAAAATTTAAAATTCTGTTGCTTAGCCATACTATAGCTACCTTTTTAGCCATACTATAGCTACCTTTCAAGGTCTCAGTAGCCATGTGTGCCAGATTATGTTGTACAGCACAGGTCTAACCTGGCCAGTTTATCACAGAGAGCACAGAGGCGGTCACAATACCAGGTGCATTAGCCTCGCAGTACCTGTATTTTGGAAGCAGCAGCAAAGTTCAGGATTGGTGACTACTGTCTGTTACACGTCCCCCTTACCTCATTCCTTCTCCACACAGTGCAACCTCTGTGTCCTGCTGAACAGATGCCAGCCTCACAAGGAAGTGCTATCCTGTATTAGAAAAACTAGGCAGCTTTTTAACTTTGATAAGTGTTTCAGTGGTCCTTATTTCCTCTCAAATAGATCCATTTAAGGCAATATCCTTTTTTCTAGTGCTACAGAAAGGGAAAGGGATTTTCTTTTGGCTTTTTAAATGACAGCTCGCTCTCTCTGGCCAGTGAGATCTATGAATGAAGTCCACTTTCAGTTATGCTGCCCTTAGTCTCCTTGCATTTTTCTAAGGGCTTCCAGGGTTGACCATTTTGCCTCAAGAGACTTGTAAATTTTTAAATAGTGGTGACGAACAAACAGGAAAAAAAAATATCAATGCACAAAATCCAGGAAGGAAATAAATGAAAATGCTACTGGTGACTGTTCAGGTTTCTTTTTTCTTCAACTTTGTTTTTGTACTTTCCAAATTTTTTTAAGAGCATAGGGAAAAATAAATTTTAATTTTTAAAATTAGCATTATCCACATACAAAGCAGTCAATTAAGATGTCGATTGGAGCAATATGAAGAGTTTAAAACAATGGAAACCATTTAACCCTGTTTAGATACTGATCTTCTAGTTTCATTGATTTGGTAGCATAGGATTACATTTTCTCACTATGTTTCCAATCACACTAGTTATTCAGTGAGTAATTTTCTTTTTTGACAGAGTCTTGCTCTGACAGCCAAGCTAGAGTGCAGTGGCACGATCATAGCTCACTCAAACTCCTGGGCTCAGGCAATCCTCTGGCCTCAGCCTCCCGAGTAGCTGGGACTGCAGGCAGGTACCAGCATGCCTGGCAATTTTTTTTTAGCCTCTGTAAAGATACGGTCTGACTGTGTTGCCCAGGCTGGTCTCAAACTCCCAACCTCAAGTGATCCACCCACCTTAGCCTCTCAAAGTGCTGGGATTACAGGTGTGAGCCACCATGCCCAGCCAAATATAGTAACAATTTTTTATTAGTTTTCAATTTTAAGAATCAACCTGTAGACTGTGAAAAATATAATAGCTAACAGAAATTAGAAGGGAGAGAAAAATATGCATTTCTCATTTGACATTCTGACAACTCATTAGATACTATCTCATATTGCTAGATGAATAGAAATTTAAGTAGATTACTATAGTTAATTCCCAGAAACACTAAATAATAATATAACAAAGAAAAGTCAAGATGATTAGGGAACTAGCAGTACAGTTTTGATAAATTTTTCATTAGAGTGTTTAAAATGAATAAACCAAGAAATAGAGGCAAAAGTATTTTAAATCTTGTTTTGATGAGAACCCATAGAAGACTGAAATCAGAAACACAATCAGAATGGCTACTCGGAGAGTTTGAGCTGTGGATTGGACAGGATGGTCGTACACTTTTGCTCAGTCATAATTCATTTTACCATGTGTCCCTATTGCATTTATAATCATGAAATAACTCTTTAATTTATTACGTAGTAAGTCTGGATATTAAGAAGTTGTTGGGCATGTTGCTAGACAATGTGATTCTTTTGTCAATCAAATACTTTTTAAAACCTCTGGGTTGTAAGATGTTGCGCAAAGTAGGAGGGTGCCCATCAGTCTAACAAATTAAGGAGAATGTCCCCAAGGCCTAGCAGCATGTGTGTATGCTATGGACATCATTGTAGGCACAGAAAAACGTTATAAGCATTGAGAGGAGGGGGGGAAAAAAAGGGTACACGGGCTATTTCCCCTGCTTTGAAGCTCTGCCAAGTCCACTAGCCTCTGAGGGAAACTGTATCTGTTACATATGGAGTTTGGGGAGTCATTACGTTTTGGCCTGATCACAACAGTCTGTTTGAAGCTCCCTTTATACTTCTTCCAGCCTGCAGGGATCCCGGTGTTCTGTCTCCTGTGAAGACGGACAGTACTTCAATGGCCAGGACTGCCAGCCCTGCCACCGCTTCTGCGCCACTTGTGCTGGTACCTTCCCTAGTTCTTTTGTTTATTCTCCCAGTTCTGGTTTTGCTTTTCTTTCTGGTTTGAGCCGTCACTCATGCAACCCACTTGTTACTTTTAAAGTAATGCTAGAGAAGTATATTTCTCTTTTAATAATTGTGTGTGTATTCTCATTGAAAGTCAAGCAGTCATCGGCATCCTATCCTCACTGAGAAACTTACATAGCCCAGTGATATCTCCTCTTTCTAAAGGGAGTGGATGTTTTTGTCAAGAGGTTCCATTTTAACTGGGAAGGCTTTTTTCCCAGGGAAATTAAGAAAAAGCATGAATATTCAATTATTAATCTTAAAATTATAGCAGGTTGATGCCATTTTCTCAAACTGTTAAAGAAGCCCATGACACCACCTCCTCTGAGGTTTTATTTCTCATTTCCTGTGCTTGTCTTGCTTTTAAGGGGCAGGAGCTGATGGGTGCATTAGCTGCACAGAGGGCTACTTCATGGAGGATGGGAGATGCGTGCAGAGCTGTAGTATCAGCTATTACTTTGACCACTCTTCAGAGAATGGATACAAATCCTGCAAAAAGTAAGTGGATCTGCCCCCTGGGCCCTAGCAATTAGACCTAAGTTCTTTTGATGACTACCTTCATAAGAAAATAAGAAAACGTAGAATTTGTAATGATAACACTAGGTTTAAACGTGGACCTGTGGACACTGTTGTGAAGCTTTAACCCAGCTTATCTTTGATATTTTTATTCCTTTGCCTCGGGGGCACCTTAATACCTTTACTATTTCAATTTCAAGTACATGCTCGATACCCTTTAAAATCACAGTGTCTACCTGTGTCATCAAACCTAGCGATTTTTGTGAGAAAAGATTTTTGAGTCATCTTCAGAGGGATAATTAAATTTAAGACATTATGAGGCTACTAGTAAACACACCTTCCCCTGTGCCTGTGTGAATGGCTTAAAAAATTATACATTTTTCTCATAGATGTGATACCAGTTGTTTGACGTGCAATGGCCCAGGATTCAAGAACTGTACAAGCTGCCCCAGTGGGTATCTCTTAGACTTAGGAATGTGTCAAATGGGAGCCATTTGCAAGGATGGTGAGTACAACTGCTCATATCGATCTTATGAGCAAAGTATGGTCTTTCTACTTTCAGGACTAATATTTTTCCACTTAAAAAAGAAACTCACAGCATGCATCAGATATGACATGCCCAATATTTTGGTGGCATTCATTCATCTTGAACTTCTACCCTTAATGGATTTGTTTGTTTGTTTGAATTGCAAGAAGAAATAAGTCAGCTATAGTGGCACTGGCCAATGTAGCTCAAGTTAATTTTTTAAATTAATAAACTTCATTTTTTGAGAGCAGTTTTAGATTCATAAGCAAAATTGAGCAGAAAGTTCAGAAATTTCCCATATACCCCCTTCCCCCAACACAGGCGTAGCCTCTCCCACTATCAGCATCAAGCACTAGAGGGGTACATTTGTTACAGTTGATAAACCTACAGTGACACATCATTATCACCCAAAGTCCACAGTTTACATTAGGGCTCACTCTTGGTTGTACATTCTGTGGGTTTGGACAAATGTATAACAACATATAGGCAACATTATAGTGCCATGCACAGTAGTTTTATTGCCCTGAAACCCCTGTGAATTACCTACTCATCTCTCGTTCCCCCTACTGGTTTTTTTTTTTTCACTGTCTCCATAGACTTGCCTTTTCCAGAATCTATATAATTGGAATTATACAATATGTAGCATTTTCTAGCTAATTGTTGTATTTCTTTCCAGTTTTTACCATAGGTACTTTTCACCAGATTTTTAAAAATACCATGCACATAGAGTTTTGTATGTTACTTTTTGCACTAAGCATTAGGCAGAAACATTATCCTATGTTTTTAGGAAACTTTATTTTTAATAGCAGCATAAAATTCAATCATGTGAAGATGCTACAGTTTTTAGCCAATCTCCTATTTTTGGATTGTTTATAATTTTGATGTATAAAGAGTAATTAAATGGTATCTGAATCTTTCATTAAGCCTGTGAAGCTAGAAAGTAATATCTTCATCTTACAGAAGGGAAAACCCAGGGTGTAGAGCTAGGAAATGATCGACCTAAGTATAGAACTTAGTATTTCACAATGTTGGTCTGTTCTTCTTTGCACCAATGATTCTGAACCAAGATGCCAGGATGCAGCACCATCCCCAGATATTCTGATTGAATTGATCTAGGGTGCAGCCCATGATCATGGGTTTAACTTCCCAAGTGTTTCTAATCTGCAGCCAGGTTTAAGAACCACTGCACATCCAATTCTCCCTAACAATTTAACAAACACCAAGTTCCCTCACCTCTCTAGCCTCAGTTTCCCCATCTGTAAAATGAATGAATTTAAAATTACTCCAACTCCAACATTTTGTGAACTAACTTATGCCGAAGGGACCCTGAAATTTACTCCTAAATTTATGCAGATATAGAAAGATAAAGATATGATGTAGAAAGACATTGTTTCAACTATTGTTGTTCAAAACATCTTCAGATTGTTATAAAAATAGAAAAAGAAAACAAAAAATATGCAGTTGCAACAATCTGACTGACACGATCCCTGCCCTAGGTTTATTCTTTCCCTTCTTTTGAACGTTTCCCCTTCTGGAAATTTCATGAAAGAAAAAACAGTGCCATTGTCAAGAGAATGTGGACTTGGAAGTCAGAATGCCTTGGGCAGGTTATGAACTGCTCTGGGCCTCATTTCCACCATCTCTAGAAAATGAAGAAGATAATACTACTGACCTCATCTGGTTATTCCACAACTCCCTACAAGGAATCTCAAAAAGGTGTCAGAAAGGACTGGGCACATGATAGCACTGATAGGACATCATTTGTGGTCTTATTTCTTTGGAGCATCGTAGATGACTTTGCATCTCCATGGTTTTTCCAGTATATGACTGGTCTGGGGCAGGGATGGGCCCGACACAGGCCCTGTGTTCTGAGGTTTTCTTGCCAGGGCTGATTCTACTATAGCACACTGAGGTGAGAGAGGCTTGGGGTGGTGGCACCCCAGGGACCATGTAAGTATCATTTTTTAGTTACCAGCAAGTGCCTCCTTTACTTTACTTAAAAACATGGTTCCCCTATTTCTGAATATGACCAGAATTTTTTGTAAGTTAGTAACAGAAAATTTGAGGAAGATGAAAGAGATTGGGCCAAGCATGGTGGCTCACACCTGCAATCCCAGCGCTTTGGGAGGCCAAGAAGGGCAGATCACTTGAGGCCAGGAGTTTGAGACCAGCCTGAGCAAAATGGTGAAACCCCATCTCTACTAAAAATACAAATATTAGCCAAGCGTGGCACGCACCTGTAATCCTGGCTTCTCGGGTAGCTGAAGCGTGAGAATCACTTGAACCCTGGAGGTTGCAGAGCGCAGAAATCGTGTCCAGCCTAGGCAACAGAGCAAGACTGTCTCAAAAACAAAAAGTGACAGATGCAGGAAATCCATTGTAACTTGAAATGTTCACCAATAGCACTTGGTACCAGGCATTTCAAGAGTTGCAATGCTTTAACTACTTTCCCTAAACCATGGTGAGTACCAGACAAGTTATGTCAAATGGCGCTTTGCTAAAAGCGGAGTGTCAGCATAGTGGACAGAAGTGGGAAATGAAGAATCGTATCTGCAGTGAGTCCATTTTCAGGTCAGTTACAAAATAAGATCATTGATGGCTCACCAGGCTTTTGAAATCACATGGCAGCTGCACTTAAGGATGTGTTATTTATTCTCTTTCAACTGTCGTATTTCTGTGATTCTAAGACATATTTTTTACATTTTATCATCTCGGAAATCAGATGCATCTTATAATTTGTGGCAGTTTACAACCACTTTTGACCAGAAAACTGATGTGATATCAGTGTTACTGCCCAGATACGAGACTTGGATGCAGAGATATCTGTTCAACCGAGTTAGGCACACGACTACTTCTTGTGTTGAATTTAATTGCAGTTCTAAAGAAGTTCAAAAATTAAACTATTGTTCAATATTCAAAGGAAAGATTCTTGCATAAGCATGGAAACAAAACAGAATGTTACATAAATATAACAAATACTTTTAATAAGTATAAAATTAAAATTCTAATTGATAAGAGAATATTGTGTCACAGTTTAATATGAAGAAGCATCTTTTCCTTTGTGTTACTTAAAATGATGGTGCATCTTAAATCTTGTGTCTTAGATTCAATGAAATATGGTATAAATGACTGTATACTCTCTGCTCTAGGTAACGCAAAGAAGAAAAATTTCTTGCTTGTGTTATTAATTGATTTCTAATTTATTCTTTTTCTAATTTTTTTTTCTTTCACAAATGGATACCAATTACATTGGACTGCAATGTCTCTCCTTGAAAAACAATGCTGTTGACTGAAATCACTTTGGGTGGACCAAATTTCCTCCTGTTGACTACTCCTGAATGATCTCTTCCAATCCCCCAAATCTGCCTCTCTGGCCAATCACAACCTTCTTCCGTGTGTGTCCATCATGCCGCTCTGGTCTTCAACTCCCCTCCTCTCTTGCTGACTTCCGGAAAAGCAACGGAAGAGTCCTGGGCGGAAGGAGGCTTCTGTATGCTTGTGAAAAAGAACAATCTGTGCCAACGGAAGGTTCTTCAACAACTTTGCTGCAAAACATGTACATTTCAAGGCTGAGCAGCCATCTTAGATTTCTTTGTTCCTGTAGACTTATAGATTATTCCATATTATTAAAAAGAAAAAAAAAACAAGCCAAAAAAAAAAAAAAAAAAGCAAGCCACCTCTCTCTTTCTTGCTCTCTTTTTCTTTCTCTCTCTCTCAAGTTTGTGCAGGGAGATGGTGAACTGTTTTGTCAGAACTTAAATGGAAAAAAAAAATAAACCTACAACAAGCCTACCTTTTATAACTGGGTGTTTAGTGCTAAACAGCCAGAACCACAGAGACAGTATTGTATGACCAAAGCATTTGATGCCAAAATTTGACGTTAAAGTAATGATTTGATTTCCTGCCCTGGTTTTGAAGGTCCATTTTTTTCCCTTTTGCATTGATTTGCTTGTTTCCCCCTTTGAAACACCTAAAAATACCTTTCCAAAACATTGCAAGAGCATAAATAGACAAAAATGAAATAGAAAGCTCTTGCATGCTTGAGTCCACCATTGGGGGAAATGACAGAAAACTGGACCTGAGGGCATTAGGAACATCCTACAGAGTTGTGTTTAGTGTCGTTTGCCATGGTATTTCACAGTGAAACATTGATACTCTCCACACATCATTTACTTCATGCATTATGTACTGGTTTTTGCATTTTACTCACTTGATAAGTCTGCTGCACTGGTTTCATCAGATAGACTTGCTGCTACTGGCTTTTCCATTGTAGATTGGGTTATTTTACACACAGTTCGCCAAATGGGATTGCTCTGTATAGTCAAATTGGTGATGGACAGATGGGCAGAATGCAGAGGTACATAGATGAGCTGAGGCTGATCCAGCTCCCCTGAAATTCAGAGTGTTAACTTTGTAGACCCTGCACAACCTCTTGGTGCTATCTAGCCATTACCCCCATTTTTTTAAAGGCCATCAGAAATTCCATTTGTCATGGTGGGAAGCATTTTGAATATGATGCAGGAAATTTCTTCCTGGAGTCAAAAGTTTCTAAGAGGTCCTGTATTTTTAAGAAATGGAATTTATTTAAATAATATTTAAGCTGGTGCCCATGTTGGCCAGGCAACTTTTTTCAATGGTGCTTATTAGAAGTTTTTTCATCTTGTCATTTTAAGAAAATAAAACTGGAAATTGAATGTGGGTGGCATGATTGTACCCTTCTAGTTCTTATTTTCCCACTCCTCTGTCCCTCTATAACTATGCCATACTATTATATGCTGGTCCACTGAATGTTGAGATGATCTGTTTCTTTGGGTTTTTTTTTTTTTAAGAAATATTTTCACTGGTTTTCTATGACTCTCTAAACACTTCATCAAAACTAGAAGACTGAATTATGAGAACACTGTTTGAATTAGTGGCCAGAAACGATGAAATCTTATAGATCTTTTGACAATTTCTCTGTTTAGGGGAGGGTAGACTGA